AACACGATCGTCAACATTCTCATCCAATGAAATTGACTATATATTAACTCTCCGAAGATTTCCCAATAGAGACACAACACCATCAATAGATAAAAACATCATTTTAGTACCCTACAATCCACGAGGGCAAAAACTTGTACTTGATCTCCTCAAAGAAATCTTACGTAAACTCCCAATGAATAAAATTTCGACACATTGGCGCATCTAAAACATTATTCCTCTAAAAAAAGGGTGAAAAAGAATTAACCTTTTTGCGCTGTTCGATGCGCTTTCGGCGTTCAGCTTCTTCTTGCTTTTGCAGGGCCTCTCTTCTTCTCTTCTTCTTCCTCTTGTGAAAACCAGTCACATAATCCCTACACACACCGTATAAATTAATTAACAAATCGAATATGAAACTGCACCTCCAATTTAATGAATTCCAAAATCCCATATGTTCATACAAATAGTGGAAGAAAAAAACGAAAAAAAAAACTACGCACTTGAGATCTTTTTCATTGAAAGAAACAGAAAGAGATTTGTTCTTGAGGGCCCTCTTCTTAATATGACGACCTCTGAGAGGTCCGGAGCCTCCGTCCTCGGCCGCCGCCTCCTCCATAGCTGGCTGGTCTCCGATATGGCAGATATCGTTAAACCTCAAATTTGATTTTGTTCAATCTAGGGTTTTTTTGGCGGACTGTTTAGCTTGTACCCGGTGCTACTCTAGTTGTCCCAACTCCCAAGTGCACACAACACATTTTTATAATTAGTTTTTCATTTAGGACCAATGTATTTGAATTGAATACCCAATTTTAAATTTTTGAAACAAAAAAGTTTACACAAAACTTGGTGTGAGTTGGGCATTAGCGGTTAACTCATCATACTTTTTTAACAAAATTGCACAATTTTTTAATAAATATTATAATTTTATTTTTATTTTGTTGTTTAAAATATGAGAGTGTACATAATTATTGAAAAAAATAAGACTATCTGACTATTATATTCGTCTGACAGGAGGGGCGGAGCCAAGTGCTCTCTTACCTGGGCTGCAGCCCAGGTAGAATTCTTCAGGACATTTTATTTACATTCAATTTTTTTTTTAATGTTTAAGCCTATATCCCAAATAATTAAGAATATAAAATGCATACGCATTATCATCTTATCCTATGTAGTACCACTGCACTAGTATACAATAAGGATGCTTTATTGATTAAAAATGTAAAAATAAAATATAATTTTTTATTTAAATTATCAAATATTCTTCTTTTATTTATTTAAAATGAAATCCATTAAACGTAAGATTTTTTTTTATTCTGTAATATTTCCAACTTATATCATGTAATAGGCATGATAGGATATGTATATTATTAGGATGTTGTTTGAAATTTTATACTTAAAAATGTAAACATACAATTGAAGTTTTTATTTAAATTATCAAATACGCTTTAAGTTTTTTAATTTAAAATAAAATTCACTACATGTAAGATTTGTTCGTTCTGTATTATAATAATATTTCAAACTTATTTCATGTAATAGTCATGATAAATAATTTTAATTAATAATGTATAAATTAATCTAAAAAAGAATAAAGTTGGTTGTTTGTTATAATTACTATTATCACAAAGAGTTTAATTTAGGGTTAATTGAAGATAAAACCCTAACCTTTTGTTAAATTGCAAATAAAACTCAACTTTATAAATTTGGCAAAAAAAATATTAACCTTTCATAAGTGTTGCAATTGTGTCTCAACCGCCACCCGCCGCCGCCAACCGCCACCCGCCGCCGGCCAACTTCGCCGGATGTTGAAATTTTTTATATGATCTTGTAGCTCTCCTCCGTGCCGACAACATATCCAAGTTTCACGAAAAAATTCCGACGATAAGAAGATGACCGAAAAAGTCGTCACCGGAAAAAGTCACCGATTTCGGTGAAGGTGGACGTCAATAGATGCAGCTTTGCGAGAGGAGTTCAACGGTATCTTCGGATTCACGTGGGTCAAAGCAAGTCACCGGGAATTTGCGAAAGAGCCGGATAAAATTTGTAGATCTACGAGCTTTGACCGGAAAATTAGAAGCCTTATCGTCGGAATTTTTTCGTGAAACTCGGATATGTTGTCGGCACGAAGGAGAGCTACAAGATCATGTAAAAATTCTCAACATCCGGCAAAGTTGGCCAGCGGTGGGTGGCAGTTGACGGCGGCGGGTGGTGGTTGAGACACAATTGCAACACTTATGAAAGGTTATTATTTTTTTTGCCAAACTTATAAAGTGGAGTTTTATCTGCAATTCAACAAAAGGTTAGGGTTTTATTTGCAATTAACCCTTTAATTTATATGTATTTCTTAAATATATTTTGTTAATATTCTAACCCGGGTAAGATTTAAATCCTAGTTCCGCCCCTAGACAGGAGTCTTACCGATAAGTTTCACCTGCTCCTTTTTTTTCTCTAAGGGGGTAAGTTACATTTTTTAGTTATACAATTGAAAGTTTTAATTAATTAAGAAATTTGAAAAGGCTTAAATATATTTAAGATTTAAAGATATGGGAATTATGAGTCCTTTTAACTATAAAATCTATACTTATATAATAAGGTGTACCATTTACGAAATTTAGTAAGTTGAAAAGTCAATGCAATAAATGCATTACTATTTTGAGCAACATAATATAATATCATATCTATACTTATATAAAAGGAGATTCTATTTACTACATTTACTATCCATAAAAGTCAACTGCATTAAATGTCATTACTATTTTGGTATTATAATATTTTATTTATTTAATTAATTTATTTATTTGTTTTATTTTAAAAAGGTAAGTATAATAAAAAGATTTTAATAATAAAAAAGTCAAAAACCAAATAAAAATGTACACTTTGACTTATTTGATTATATTTAATATGTGATTATACCAAATATATTCTTATTTAGTATATACATTAAATACTTACTAAAGTATTTATTTGTTTTATTTGTCAAAATTAAGTATAGATTTGTTTATATTATCAAATCATAAAAAAATATTAAATCCATATTGTAAAAAAAAAA